TTATCTTGAATTGATTCGCCAAAAATTCAGTATTTTCAAGTCACACTGATTTTATTACAAGAGTTGAGTCAGGGCAATTCATATGTTTGTGTTTTGGTTGATGCCCGTCGCACAGTTGCTGCTTATGCTGCCTTACAGTTTGGCTTCTTTAACCCTTTTGCCAGGACATCATAAACTGCTAGAATTACATCTGCTTCACACATACCTCTTCTGGTGCGATTGGCCCATTTCAGTGGCTGCTCCTATACAAATCTATCCAAAGAGTTTTTCGGTATAATTCTTCCTAGTTGCTGTTTACATAATGCTCAGGTGACAGCTGGCCCCTTAAGAAGTTGAAATACTATGCCAAGAAGGAGGTGGTCATGGAAGCAGAGAAGAATAGACATTTGACTGGCTGGATGATGAGTGGTGGGATGCACCTGCTGGGAAACCCCCAGGGGAAACCCCAGAGGGCTCAGAGCCTGGGGATCGGTGGTGGGACACCAAGGAGAGATCAGGGGGAGAAGGGAGGGGAGGAGTTGTTGAATGCTGAAGGGGCAACAGGATTTAGTGAACAGGGAGAGCCTGTGACAGGGAGCAGTTCCGACTCGGAGGCTGAAGCAGAAAAGGATGGACAAGAGACTGCAGAAGGACACAGAGAGCCTGCTTGTCTCCAAGGACACTCAGAGTGATGTGTAGAGCGGAATAGAGATTAGAGATGCCCAGAGCAGTTTGAGACTGCTTGGGAAACATCGGGCAGAGGAGGAGCCTTTGAGGGGGTTGAAGGTGGGGATAAGACTTACTTGTATGCCATTTCTTTGAATAAAGAGCTACCGTATTTTTCTGTGTATAAGACTAGGTTTCCCCCCTAAAAAATAATGTCAAAAAATTAGGGGCGTCTTATACAAGAATACATCTTCCCCACTTTTCTAAAATCAGAATCCCCCAAAATAGGGGGCGTCTTATACATGGGGGCGTCATATAGATGGAAAAATACCGTAACTTCTCTGACAGACTGCTCCTTGCTTGCTAAATGGCATCTGACTGGCAAGGAGAGAAACAGGGTGCTGAAATCTGTTGTGAGAAAGTGAAACACCCGCCCAGCCAATTTTCTTTTTGGAAGTTCTTTGGCCAAAGATACTGACATATCAATCATTTTTTATGTGGCATCAGGAACGCACAAGGTTCTGGATGTTGGTTCTCCATAAACCCATACACACTTAACATTGCATGAGGGCATGAGAGGAGCGATGCTTGCCAACATTCCTCCTCACGATTCCAGACCCCCTGCGTTCCACACATTATGGGAAGGGGTCGTGTGAGGGGGTACTTCAGAAATTGGAAGTTTTTTGTTTTTGTTTGTTACTATGTTATGTCTTGTTGTGTCTTTATATTGTAAATTGCCCTGTGATCCTCAGATGAAGGGCGGTATAGATGTTTGTTTGTTTATTTATTTATTTAACTAACAAATTCAAGGTGCAGGTTATAATTGCTATTACCGTATTTACCCGAGTCTAATGCGCCATTGAATCTAATGCACACCTAAATTTTCAGAACCCTGAAACCAAAAAAAGTGTTTGCTGGCGAATGTCAATGTGCCATCAAATCTAATGCACACCTTAATTTTTGCGACGTAATTTGGCCAAAAATGTTGAGCATTAGATTCAAGTAAAATACGGTAATTTTTTCTTAACCTTTTTGTTTCAACCTTTTAGTTTATAACCTTTACATTCCACAAACATAACGTTGAGTCTGGTGCTTTCTGCTCTAAAGAAAGAAAGACCATATGTCAATGGGTCATACAAATTTCCTGCCGGATCATTTTAGCAAGTTTACAAAAGCTTCTCTGTCCAGCTGCCTGGAGGAAAGTCTAACTCACTATAGATGACCAGGTGAATGACTCTACCAGGTTGGGTTATGAACTAACGGATTTTATTTTTGCCTCGTCTAGCTACTATACCTTCAGATAGAACTCGTATTTTATTTTATTTTTACTTCGGTACAAACCTTAGTTTTGTGGAAGCCGTAAAAATGAATATAATGCTTTTTTCCGAACGGGATTTGAAGAAAACTCATCCTTAATGCACTCGGTTTGCTTGTTGAGTGGTGAGAAACCCACTTTGGGACTCTTCAGTTTCTTTTCAAACTTGTACTTATTTTCTTTTCCTTAGAAATAATACTTAAAGTCAGCAACATCAAAAGAACTTGCTGCCCTTGGTGGTTCTCTTGGCTGCTGCCTGTGACTCTACTGTGTCTGTCCTAAATTAATTGGGGGGAACTGGGCCAAAAACCGTTTAGCTGAGGTCAGCCAGTTGGGGTGCTGCACGTTCGTGACAAGCTTAATGACAAGCCTTTGCCAAAGAGCAGGCAAGTTGGCTGAGACAGGCAGCCTAGCAAAATGGCTGCTCCGTACAGCTTTCCATTCACTGGCATCCCAGAGTATCCCGTCACTGAAGCATCATGTCAAGGGCCATTGCCAGGCAGGTGGTTTCCTTCTCGAAATCTTCCTCATTATGTTTGGGTAGCACCTGGCTTTAGGGCTTCTTTCTTGCTTTCTCACAGTTCCATGTTTGCTGTTAAAAATGTCCCATTCCACCTGGCAATCATTGTGTGGTTAATTAAATTACTGGATTGTCAGTCTGGCTCCACGATGGTTTGCTTTGCCCTGTTGAAGAAAAACAAACATATGGCGCATCTTTGATCTATTGTCAGCTGGTTGGGAAATTGCCCAATCAAAAAAGCATCCTCAAAAGCTGTCTTGTAATAGTTAGCAAACTCAGGATCAGCTGGATATAATTTGTTCCTAATTGAAGTGGGACAGTTGCAATGAGGATGGGCTAGCAAGCCAAGGAAAGAGGTAATAATTGTATTAGTGTCATAATAATTTAAACAGTTTTTGCTCTGCCCTTCGACGGAAAAGCGGATTATATTCCATCAATAAAAACAAAATGTTCCAATCAACAGACTTAAAATATTCAGTTATTTTAAGTTATTTTATGCAACACAAAGGAAAAAAGAATTAGAAGGGAAGAAAAAAAGCAGTTTCGGCCGCCATTTCTTAAAGTTGCATAGTATTTCTTCTAATGACCAGCTGGAGTGAATTCAGTTCTGAGAGAGGAGATGCCAAATGGAGCCGATCTCTCCACTGATTGTGCTCCCCTTCTCTCCCTCTGCTGCATCCTCCTCTTAGGTGGCATTTGATGGAATGGAGATGGCTGCCATCTTTCCCCTTGCAATACAGTCCTGTTCCATTACTGCCCTGATGAGCAAGTGTTATGTAGCTGCCCAGTGCACGTATCTGCCAGGGACTTCAGGGCTCAGACCAGGAAGCTAAAGGTTGGCACCTAGCCTAGTGAGCACCTAAGCCACAGACTGTGTGCCTCAGAGTCCTTTTGAGGCACAAAAAGAAAAGGAGTTGTGCAACACTGCTATGATTGGTATGGGCCCCTTGGAGCAAGGCTGAGAAACTCGCCCACTCCCCCTGCTGAAGGAGGCACCCGCCACCGGCATGAGCAGCAGAAACCTGAGCGTGCAAGGATAACTCTACCACTCCTTCCTTCCCTCCCCAGCTTTTTTATTTTTATTTTAAGTAAGCCCTGACATGGGGTAAAGGAGGCACCTCCTCTGGCTAGTAGGCAGCGGTGGCAGCCTGAGCAAAGGTGAATGGTACTCCATTCCGGAATGTTCCACTAGAAAAGAAGCACAGGGTGGGGTGGGGGAGAGACTCCATCCAAAGGCTCTACATCAGGCACCCCCATACTCGGCCCTCCAGCTGTTTTGGGACTACAACTCCCATCATCCCTAGCTAACAGGACCAGTGGTCAGGGATGATGGGAATTGTAGTCCCAAAACAGCTGGAGGGCCGAGTTTGGGGATACCTGCTCTACATGTTGGGACTGGTAGCTCTGAAGGGTCAAGGTAAAGCAAGCTCTGCTCCCTCAGGATGGCATTTCTCTTCTACAGGCCACTGGGGCTCCTCTCACACTTCTAGTGAATACTTTAATTTTGTTTTTCTCTATGAGTTAAACATATGTAAACTGCATTAATATGCAGAATAATCAAATCTGTGATCTGTAATTACTGAGGTGATCCTGCCCTGACCGCAACAGCCACCATTAATGTTGCTGTCTCTAATACGCTGGTAGAGCGTATGGGTTGCATGCAAAAGGGTGGACTGTTCAGTCCTCAGCGCCTCCTGGTAGAACTGGAAGGGACTTTTGTTTGAAACCCAGAGAGCTGCTGTCAGTCAGTGCATACAGTGCTGAGCTAGATGGATCAATGATCTGTTTCCGTACCAGCTAGCTTCTTATGTTCCTGTTGGATGCGACTGGGCATAAGTGTTGGTGTACAGTGGTACCTCAGTTTACGAACTTAAATCCGTTCCGGAAGTCCGTTCTTAAACCAAAGCCGTTCTTAAAGGGAGGCACGCTTTCCCTAATGTGGCCTCCCACCGCTGGTGCCCTTCCACCGTTCAGCTTCCATTTGTAGACTGAGGTAAAGTTCGCTAACTGGAACACTGCTTCCGGTTTTGCAGAGTTCGTATACCGAATAGTTCGTAAACAGGGCTGTTCTTAAACCAAGGTACCTCTGTATTTGTAACCGTCATTAATCATACAGACTACATAATATACTTGTCATATTCCTTGCAGGATGCATGCTATTTGAGGTTGTAGGGTGCAGGGTGACAAACAGCTTTTTCATTTAAAAGTGTTGGTGACACACTTGCTAGCACTTTCAAAGGAGAAGGAAAACATGTTTCCCACAGCTTTTCTATCTGTGCAATGGGAAATATGCCTTGAGTCAACCAGTTGAACTTGGGTCCCATAGACAGTCTTCGGGACAAATTAGTCACAACCCAACTCAGGTCCCATTGATTTCAACCAGCTTAGTCTGGATTCAACATAGTGTGTGTTGATCTTCGTTGTGGATAACAGTTAACTTTAAGTGAGGGTATGCTATATATATTTTTAAAAAAAAATCACACCAAACATACTGTATATTTTGTTCTCTTTCTGTTCTAGGCCTTCTGCTCTATCCGGTAGCCCAACATATTCAGAATTGCCGTTCATCAGAATATCCCCCCACAGGAACCCTGCTTCAGCATCAGAATCTCCCTTTAGCCCCCCTCATCCCTACATTAACCCTTACATGGACTATATCCGATCACTGCACAGCAGCCCTTCTCTGTCTATGATCTCAGCGGCTCGGGGCCTCAGCCCCACAGATGGTGAGTTTCAGACCGGCTTCCTGTTTGCTCTCATTTTGGCAGCAGTTACATTAATCTTGTCAAAGGATCTCTTCAGCTCCTTCCAATCAGCTGCAGCAGGTTTGTCAAACATTTATTATGTCATAAATGTTTCAATACTTCCATCAGCCTATAGCTGGTCATTTGTACATTTCATTGAAACATCAACTAAAGGTACCATCTTGTTTGAAATTTTAAATAAGGAAATATACTTATTGCTTCTAACTCCTGCCGCCATGGACTGCCTTTCTTCTTGCTTACCCCAGTGTAAAATAGGCAAGATAGCAATACAATGTGTTGGAATCAGTTCGTGGCATTTAGCCATAGTCTCTTCCCAGAACTTTTTAAAAGGAGACAAGCGTTTTGTCTTCATTCCATGGGATTGTGATTGTTTGTATTAAATTTAATTTGGAAAAAATGTAATTCTTGCCAAATTTTTGGTAGGCAAAACATTATGAAGACAGATCCCCTTGAATTCAGAGTTATAAACCAAGAGTTTCTTTATGTTTAAAAAGCATAAATTATCCTAATCCATCTAAAGTTAGTCATTGCTAGTTTCCATTGAAAGCAGTGGAACAAGTTAGTTGTAACTAGTTTTCCCCATTGCTTTTAGTTGAACCATCTTAAAATTAAGCCAGCTTTAAACTAGAGAGGGGCCATGTTATCAGCATCATTTTATTTATCTGAATCAATTAGCCTTGCTTTCAAGGTTTGGATTTTATAATTATGAGTTGTATTTTCGCCCAACCCATGTTTAGATAAGAATACAGAAATCCAGCCTTGAGAATGGTTTCACATCTCTGCAGATTGATGGGGAAAGCAACACAAGTGAATGCAAGAAAGATTTTTTTGCAAACCTGTTTTGCAAATTTCACATGTTCTAAAATGTGTGTTCTTCATCAGGGGCAGCTACGAAAATTACATAAATGTAACAAATCTCCAGGAACATTTAATAATTTCATATAAAAAGTATATGCATCTGCTGCTCCCCAGCTGGTTTTCCCTTTTTGTCTCCTGCTGTGTGGTGCAACCCTCCTTCCAGTTGCAGGTCCATATATATTGTCATGGACTGGTTAGACACAAGGAATGGTGGGAGGAACCAGCTGGGGAATCACCAAGCGAAGAAGGCTCAAAGCCTGGGCAATAGTGGTGGGACAACGATGAGTGGTCAGAGGGAGAAGACAGGGAAGTGGAGGTGTCAGAAGCTGAAGGGCTAACAGGGCTCAGTGAGTTGGGAGAGTCTGTGGCAGAGAGAAGTTCGGAATCAGAGGCAGAAGCTGAAGCTGGCAAATAGGAGGGGGGAGGTCAAGTGGCAGATATGAGTCAGGCTAGCGAAGAGTCACGGGTGCCCCCCACCGCTGCTACGACAAGCTCCTCTCCCTGCCCTGACTTCCAGAAGAGGTATGAAACAGGAGGAGCAAAGACAGTCTGCATGCAGGCAGCGTCTCCAATTGCTTGCAAGAAGTCCTGAAGAGGAGGAGACCTAGACTGCTTTTAGTCACAGCAGCGGATTTCATAGTGTAGGACCTACAGGGCATGAGCAACTGTGCTCATCAGGCCCGAAACTCAGCCAAGGCTGTAAAGATGGTGTTTCACTAATAAAAAGTTAACTCCAACTTTCAACTGTGGGATTTACAGACCAGCTTGCTCTGTGACATATATGCAGGCTGTGTGCTAGCATGTTCAGAAAGGGCCACCTTGGATAGTTCATGATTTGGCCACGTCCTGAGCCATTCACAAGACCAAGAAATCTAGAATAAACGTTCTTGACTGACTGAAAAAGTTTACTCATGAGGAAAATGGAAAATTCATGATCGTGTGAACCTACCCAAAGTTAATATTATAAAATAATGCTAACGTAGGAACATCTAAAATTCCTATGGAGAGAAAAGAAAACCAAGGTAGGTATTTCATCTGAGTAACAGGGGGGGGGGGAGATATGTATGCTGGGCTCTGTTAACTGTACAGTAATAATACTGTAATTTGAGTATTTAAAATGGTAATTGCTGCTAAATTGAGCTATAATGGGTCAAATTAGCTAGCTAGTGTGTATGGAAGACAATTAGAATACTATTTTAATTAAGGGAAAAGTGCTTCCCACCACATATGAAAATGGCAGATTTACAAAACCGACAGTCTGCCTTTAGCTGAATTTGAAAAATGAGCTGTTCTCGCTGCCCAAATGGATAATACCGTAACTAATTAATCCTCACATATAAGAACATATACCTTTACAGATAATCCATTACTTATGGGTGCTTGTTCTTATGAGAATAAATTTTAATGACCTGTTGTCAATCAGAATTTATATTACATATGCAGGGCATTTGTAATAGTGAAAAAGAAAGTTTAGCTTTTCGTCTAAAACATTTAGTTAATTCCTCAAAACTTATAGGGCATGTGTGTATGTCAATACCTTGGTATTTGTTGAAAAATCCTATTTGGATATCAGTTATATATTGTTGGTCTCTAGATCTCCCTTGATCTACAGCTTCATATTTATATAGCAAGTATGTAATTTCTAATAATTTTTGTAAGAATTGTCATTAGGAACATAGCTCAGTTTGTCTCCACCAGGTGTGGGGAACCTTTGAGACTCCAGGTGTTGTTAGTCTACAATTCCCATCCTCCCTGGCCATTGGCCGTACTTGCTCGGCTGATGGGAGTTGCAGTTCAGCAACACCTGCAGGGCCAAAAGTTCCCCACACTTTGTGTGCGTTGATTGGCAGCTGCTCTCCAGAGCTTCCCAAAGGTCCTTCACTGTCCTGGTTGGAGATGATGGGGATCAAATGCATAAATGTGTACATGCTGGGCAACCATATTAAAAAAGACCTTTTCTATGTCCCAGGTGAGAATGAAGAGAAATAACTCCAGTACTTCAAAACTTAACTTTCCAAATAATGAAGTTTAGCAAGTTGCATGCTGGTTTCCTTTTTCACCATCTCCTGATCATTGCCTTTAGGGTAATCAGTTTAGGTTTCCCCTATGATCAGAAGTTGCCCCTTCCCTGAGGCTATGGATTGCAGGGAAGATTGGTAGTCACGAGCAATCTGTCTTTTCAAGAGGGCTTCTTTGAGCTCCTTCTGTGGAACTCTGGGAAGCATTGTTTGAAAAGCACCTCGCTGCAGAATTCAGCTAGCTCTTACTACAGTAATTCTGTAAATCACCCTGCTCAGTAAAGCTAACTTCTTACCCATGTGCTTCTGTTTGGCTCTGTTCTTTGAGCAAGAAAGGAAAGTGAAGGCGTTTCTTCGTTTCAGAAGTAAAGCATCTTTCAGGGAAAAGAATGCCAGTAGTGTAATTTATCTTTATGTGCTCATTTCATGCCCTTGCAGGTTCTCCAGACTTGCCTTTTAAAGTTTTCAGCTAATGTTATTGTTAGTTAACCCAGACACTTATGTCAGAAAGCTCAGGAAGTATTTTAAGTGTGTCTGGAAAGATACTGCTGTTGTCTAATACTGTAAAACTTTAAAATCAATGATTTCCTGGAAGGATTTTTGCCCCACTGTTTTTCTCCAACATTTTATGGATGGTGAAGTGGTATAAGAAGGGTTTTATGCTGAAAATCCAACTAGTAATTCAAAAATACATTAAACATTCTTAGTTTGCTTTTCATTCCCAAGAAGTATAAAGCTCTGAAAACTGGATTTTGAATAGATTTACTTTCATAATGTTAAGGCATAATCTCACAATGACATGCGCTGGGGTCCAAAGAAGGGCTGTGTATGAGGAAGAACTGTGCACACACTCGGAATGTCGCTTGCTCTTTTTGTTGAACCAGTTCTGATTCCTAAAGAGACAAGCCACATTAAAAATTGCCCTGAGGTTTGCCTCTTTAGCCTCCTGCTCAGAAACTCCTTTTCGCTCAGCTCCATTCTTTCCAGACATCTTCTTTCTTGTAAGTGGCATCCTTTTTGACATCCTTAGTAGGCCACCTTAGTTTGTGCCTAAGGCAGGAAGCTGAAACCCCGATTCATTGTGCATGTGGCACTTGAGGTTTCAACAGCTCCAGCATTCTCTGCCTCCCGATTGGTGCCAGGACCACTCCTCCAGCACCAAAGGTACGGGTGTGTGGAAGTGTCTGCTAGTGGGACTCCCACCAATAGTGGCCTATGGGAAGTCTCCAAATGGAGCAGAAGAGGGAAGGACTGAGCCAGCCTGGGTTTCACTGGATCCCAAGTTGGCCCCTGAGTCGTCAGGTGAGGACATTGGGCATGATCACCACACCAGATCCAGGCTAGCATTGAGTCTGTCTGGGATTTGCCTGACCTTCTGACCTAGCTTGGATGAGCGGCAAGGCTGCAGATGCCAGTGGTACCTCTTGCTGCTGCCCAGCCAGGCTGAAACTTGCTATTCCAACTTTTCAGTAACAAGCTGAAGGACATTCGTTCCCACTTCTGCTATTCACTCCATTGAAATTCATTTTACAAATGCATATAGCAATAAAATTACTGTGTTTGATCCAGAGCAAGATCCACTTAGGTCCTTCTGAAATCAGTGGGAAACGAATTAGACACAGCTAACTTTTCAAATAGATTTCAAAAGGACCTAAATGCCAAAAGGACCTGGAACTCTCTCCTACCCTAGAGAGGCTAGACTGGCTCCCTCCTTGTTGTCCTTCTGCCAACGGGCTTTTGGGAACTGACTGCTTTTAATGAGGGGGCTAGTGCCATGCTGTTTTTGTTGTGAGTGTATGTTTTTTGTAAGTTTTAATTCTTTTAATGTTTAATTGCTTTTTAATGATTTTTCAATGTTTTTAGCTATTCTTATTTTATCACTAAGCCACTTTGAGTCCCTGCCAGGAAAAAAGGGTGGGAGAAATATAAATATATACAGCCACTAACCTGCTTTGGATCTCATCCTGACTATGTGCCAGCAAACATATTGGTGAATTCTTCACATTACCACTTTGCAGGGTGTTTTGAAAACAAATACCTTATCACAGCTTGCATGATATTAAAAGGGGGGGGAACCACACAAATTGCTATCATTATAGGCAAGAGAAAGAAGAAAATGAAACTCTGCATCCTGTTTGCCACATGTCATTTAATGAAGCTTTTTATGTCCTGTTTTTAGCTCCGCATGCTGGAGTTAGTCCCGCTGAATATTACCATCAGATGGCTCTCCTGGCAGGGCAGCGCAGCCCATATGCCGACATCCTCCCATCAGCTGCCACGGCAGGAGCCAGCGCTCTTCATATGGAATATCTCCATGCTATGGATAGTAAGTGATGTTGCTACCAAAGAGGTGAATTGAAAATTATGAACTCGGTGAAAACGCCAGATCGGCAAATAATTTGAACGATGGGATGGAGCTGTTGTCAGTGGAGACACGAGACCTGTTAGTATTGTCTCAGAGTACTGGCCTTCAACTGGTGGTTTGAGACCATGGGAGCTCTTCTGCTATGCAAAATACATGGTAATAGGTTAAGAAATGAGCCCCCAAAGGCCCGTGGGGGCTCTGGATCTGAAAAGGCTGAAAATTCCTGGTCTGGAGGTTTAAACAGAAAGCAATTTTGGGGTGACTTCACTATTTTCATTCGTAGTGGCAGCATATTAGTCTGTGATCCAAAATAACCAGTGAGAGACCTATCATCACATGCCTGCTCTGATTCTTCCCACTTTCCTTTCTCTTGGCCCCTGAATCTGTGACACAATCAATACTATTACAGTAAGTAATGTAAATGGCACTCTACAAGGTTTCATGAACGGTGAGCCCCTCCCCCAGGAAAACAGGGGGAAGTCTGTCTCAGAAGAACTTACATTCTGAATTTTTGCAGAGGAGAAGTCCCAACAGTGGCATGTGTGTTAGGACAGAGCCTCCCTCCTGACATTGGCTTTGCTGCTGCTTACTTAGACGTGGCTGGGGTGTGGCAGGGCAGTGACCAGTGTGGGGCTGTGTGGGTGAACTGGTGGCCACAGTGGTGCACCCACATGACCCCAACCTTGCAACTTCCCTGTTGCTACCACCTCCAGATAAGCAACATCTACATCAATGTCGGGAGGGTAGTTCTGTGGCTCCACCCCACCGCAGGCACTGCTGCTGAAGAAGACAACAGAGGGTGGGGAGCTTTTACAGACAGAAACACCCACACCTGAATTGTCTACATGGAGATGTTTGTCTGCAACAGCTAGTGCTGGCCTAAGACATTTTGCTGCGCAAGATGACAGCTCTCCCATTCCATGTACAGGACTGGCAGCGGAATCTTACTTCAGCACTGGTGAGGGGACTGCATCCTTCACCACACCTGAGGGCTCCAGGTTATCAGACGGGGTGCTGGGAAGGCCATATCACACACAAAGATCTGTTCTTCAGCAGCTCAGTGCTGCCCTATACCTCCCACCACCTGCTACCGTAGGTGGGTAGAGCCATTCCTGGAATCATAACAGAGCTCCAAAACATTCTTGATCTTACTCTCATGTGAAAACGTTTGCTCTATGTAGAATTGTGACCCTTCAGAAGTAAAGAGGTAGATTTGGCAAAGTCTTGAAAAGGGAAATCCACAAGAAGCCATTTTTATCTGTGGATCGATTGGAAAATGCAAAACATTCTTCAGTTTGCTGTTTGCCAAATTCATTTTTTACTGACTTAAAGTGAATTTTCCCCAAAGGCAATTTTGTAGCATTTAAATAGTTGTTATTTGTGCCATTATTCATTTTCCTTGTAAACATTATTTTTAAAGTTGCATAGAAGCTAGCACAGATAGACCAGTGGACTTGCTATTGAGTTTGTACAGAGAGTTACAGCCATTTCTGCTCTCTGAAGGGTCCATGTCACTGTCACACATTTTTACATGTATACTTACGACATCTTAGGCATATCCTTGCCATGTAATTGCTCTCAACTCCTGGAGTTGGAAAGGGTTGAGAAACAATATGGGCATTCGGCTGCCATAAGAGCTGGCTCATCTTTAGAGTTGCCACTGAAGACTGACCCAGGTATCACCAAAACCGTTACGGAGCTAAAAGAAGACACACGTGAATTAGATATGTTTTTGGAACTGAAAGTAACACTGTTTCATTCAGTCCATGGAGAAGATCCAAGTATAATTTGGTCTGTTTATATTTAGTTATAATTGCTTTGCTGCTAATAGCTGATGATGAATACGATACTTAAATCTTATTTTCAAGGAAGTGGTACTAGACAAGTTCATACAAAGATAAACCAACTATAATATATGGGTATTGCTGAGATTCACAGAAAACCACTTTGTAGGATTTGGGAGATGGTAGGGGAGTCTGCGTTGCTACTATCAGTCTGCATTGCAGATGGTTTTGTGTTATATATGTCAGTATAATGAGAGATTCCAGCCCCTCCCACACCTTTCAAAGGGCTACTTGAAGGCATGTGTGCTCCAAAGGGAAGGCAAAGGAGGAGATACACAAGCCAGGAGCTCATCTGTGCCTAATAACAATAAGTATTGTGTATTACGTATTTTATATTGCTTGAAAATACTGTTTCAGTTCTGAGAAAACTGCTTTGAGCTTCAGAAGAACGGCATACAAATGCCATAAGGAAGGAAGGAAGGAAGGACTGGGATTACATCCAGATTCAATACAATTCATGTTAATGGCTTCTGGGTAGCTAGTTTGCTTTGTTTGCTATGTTTCATTAGCCACGTGTCAGTGACAGCTGGGGTGGCACCTACCAAGGCGACTGTTGTGTGCACTGAATAGACTTAGCCCTTGGTGCCTTCTAAGTGAATCCACAGGGACAGCCAGAAGCTTGCTGCTTCCCACAGGGATCTGGTTGGCCACAGTGAGAACATGATGCTGGGCTGGATGGGCCATTCTGGCCTTCTTAGGCTTATGAGTTGGAGGTATAACTTCTAAAGCAGGGACCCTGCTCTACCTGTGCAGCTTCCCAGTGTGTTGGATCATCTGAATTGTGCAGGGGAGCTGCTTGAGTAGGAAAGGTTCCCTGCTGCTGAACTGATCCCTCTAGCTCATGGAAGGGACAGGGACAGGGAGGAAGCAGAGCTAGCCTGCACATCCTTGCTCTCCTTCACTGCATGAGGGATTTGGAATGCCTGAATATGGTTTTGGTCTCTTGTGCTTATCAAGCTCATCATACAAAGCTGTCATTAGGAATCGAATCCACGCATGTTAGGGAGTCTAATTTGAAGACCCATGCGTATTGCCCAATCCCTCTCCGTGTCAATAAAGGGGCGTCTCTGAATGTGTGCATTTCAAAGATGCTAATGTGCCATCCTCCTATCCGTTACAGCAGGACAAATGTCTTAATTCCCATGCTGCACCCAGGACAGGGGACATGTTCAAAAGGTCTGTGTGTGAGGGAGGGCAGTCTTATGTACAGGAACTCTGCGTAAAGGGGATGTCCAGGCCCCTTAGCTTCTCTCTTTCAAGCATCTGTACATATACAATTTGCAGCTCCTGAAGACATCATTTGAAATATCATGTTAAGGAGCACTTTTTATAACTGGATGGACTTTGCTATACACCTGTGTGCCTGTACGTGCATATGACTCAAGACGATTTCTTTCCCCCCTCCTTCTGCAGCAGAGTGATGAGTGACTGCTGTCAGAGAGCCTAGTGGTAGGAACTGGGGCAGGCAGGGAGGTCAGTGTGCAGTGCTTTCCTCCTTCTCCCTCTCCTTTCGCTGAGTGTAGACTTTAGTTTGGGATGCTTCTTAAGGTGATACCATTTACTTGAGCTTCATTACAGCATCAACTCTTTATATTGTTATTAACGACTGTTTCCTGTATTAAAAACGTACACAAATGCACAGCAGCATTATGCAAATTGCTTGTTTTTAAACTGTAAATATTGAATTAAATTAAGAGTGAATCGTGGAAAGGTCATATAGCCTCACCTTCCCTATTTGATGAGAATTTGTTTAGTCAGGCAATAGGTTCTTTTATCTAAACAGAGGATGAAGCTAGCCTTTTACTTTGTAAAAACTAATTAAAACTATCTTAACTTGCATGGGTGTACAGTAAATTAATTGTCATTAAATAGGAATCTGAATGTCCTACCATTCATCATGCCAAAGAAACTCCTTTCTTCCTTGTCAGAATTTTAGATGAGAAAAGGAAAAACAAAACAATTAGCAAGAAGCCAAGATTAAGATGCTAAAAACAGCAACGAGAATGCCCATGTTTGCATTTCATAGCTAAGTTCTACAGTCAGTGCTGTGCAGTGCTGTCTTACAAGTCAGATGCATTCTGCTTCATTTTGTCAAGAAAAATTGCATTTGGTAGTTTTCCTAATTATATGTTTTCAGATTACTGTGGGCCAGCCTCTTGGATACTCCCTGCTGATCTTGGATAACCCCTGTTGATCACCAAAATTAGGATTGTGAGTGCCTCGTGGCAGGGACTGGTCTCTTTTTGATGCTGCAGATATGTAAATTAGCATTAGTAACCTTCTTTAAGAATGTTCCAGGTGCCCATACATAAATCTGTCTGTCCTGAGCTGCTTCATCATTGTGGACAGGAAAGATAACCGGAAGAAATCTGAGAGGGGCAGGAAAGTGGGAAGGGTGAAGCCCCAGCTTCCTCCAGATGCACAGTCCTCTTGGAACATCATTAAGGGACAACACCACAGGGAACAAGAAGTTTATTTTGCAACACCATCGGCCAGGACACTGTTGTCAGCTATCCACTGCCACCTTAACGCTTTGCATGCTGAAAATTTGAGCTCTAGCTGCCAGGAAAAAGTTTCCTTTCCTACTACAGTGGTACCTCGGGTTAAGTACTTAATTCGTTCTGGAGGTCCGTTCTTAACCTGAAACTATTCTTAACCCGAAGCACCACTTTAGCTAATGGGGCCTCCTGCTGCCGCTGCGCCGCCGGAGCACGATTTCTGTTCTCATCTTGAAGCAAAGTTCTGAACCCGAAGTACTATTTCTGGGTTAGTGGAGTCTGTAACCTGAAGCGTATGTAACCCGAGGTACCACTGTATAGCAGGAAAAGTGTGTAAAGATAAAATGTGAAGCAAAGGCAGTTAATGACAAAGACAGAAATTTTGGTTGGCATTAACCCACCCAACCATCAACTTACCCTTCTTAATAGCCTCTGAATGTGAAGAGGAGGAGGAGGCATAGATCTGAGGTGGGGTCTGAAGCAACAGCAAAGATGCATGCAGAGGCCGAGGGAAGGGACGGTAGGGGGAAAATCAGATGGCAATGGAAGACAGTCGGTGTAGTGCCTGGTACTTGTTACCAGTAATAGTAAAAAGTGGTACCTGCAACAAAAAGTTGCAGTGTTATTTCTAGCGTTTCAGCCCAGAACCTCAGCATTTTATATCAATATAGGAAGGTTTGTAAGGGTGTGTGTTGCTTTAAGGGTGTATGTTGCTATATAGTGCTGGGGGTGGGTGAGTTTTTTAACCTTGTGACACACTTCCACCAAACATTTAAGTTCAGCATACTTTCGTATAATCAATTCCAATATAATCATCTTATGGTCCACCAACCACGAACGCATAGTATAATCTGTTAGGAGCTTGAGCAGGCCCATTTCCATTCTTCCTGCCACCCCCCCCCATTTTCCATTCTGCCCCCCAAACTAATCCCGTATCATTCTGTATCTTAGCTGTTCTCAGTTGTATAGTTAAAATTTACCTGGTTTATGATTCCTTTAGAACCTCGGTTCAACAGCCACGGCCATTCCTTAAGTCCTTGGACCTCAATGTGGCTTCTTCGGCTAGGTGTGTTTTTTAAATAAAAAACCCCCAAATATTTAAATTTATATAGTCCTTGCGTGCTTCTGCATGTGTAGTGTTCCCGCTGAGCATGTTAGAACTACCAATGAATTTTTGGTTGGCCCCAGTTCATTTCCAGCCTTATAAGCCATGCTGTAAGGAAGAATAATGCCAGCAGCAGTGGCCTTCATGCCTAGGATGGAACAGATCAATCTCTCCAAGTTTTTATCAAGAAAATTGTTATTTTGTGAGAGGTTTACGCCAGATGCTTGGTGCAGCTCCAAACCCAGAAGTCAAAGGTCCCTTACAAATGCTTCCTAGTTCACATGGAACTCATCTAGTTATATTCACAATAGGAAGCATTCATTTTAGGGTTCAGGTCAATATGCTTAAATGAACTATGGCATTTTAAACACACACACCCTTCCGATTTCTGTTTTAATACCTTTCCAAAATGATACATACCTGATTGAAACAAAACGCAGTGTCACCCCTAAGAATGCTCAGAGCCCTGAACTTATGGTGTTCAGTGAAGTAGGGAGCCAGTGTGGTCTACTGGTTTAGAGAGTGTCAGGCTATGACCTGGGAGAGCAGGGTTCGAATCCCCACTCAGCCATGAAGCTCACTGGGCAGTCACTCACTCTCAGCCTAACCTACCTCTCAGGGTTATTGTGAGGATAAAAAGGGGGGGGGAACTGTGTGCCCCCCTTGGGTCCCCTGAAGGAAGGGTGGGATGTAAATGCATTAAATAAATTGGCATCAGACATGATCACCCTGCTGCCACTGGCACTGCTCGCTGGAGACTGTTGCTCTCGCTGGCACTGCATGGCGGTGTTGGTCATCCTCGTTTGTTGACTAATTAAAAAGAAACTATATAAATGTCACTTCTGCACTTCTTTGTGTCCTTAATTAGATGGCCTTTAGTTGTAAGCTTTAATAACTTTTTAAATCCAAGGCAAATAAAAAACACCGCCATTCTCAAGTATCAAAGCGCTGTATTGAATTGAAGTAGCAGGCAGGCACACAGTAACCGCCAGGCCTGTAAAATAGAGATGAAAAAGGTTAAATTATAAGGAGCCTGAGGAATAAAAAAAATCTTTACATTCACTTTTAAATGCTGACTCGTCAACACGGTATCCGGAGCAAGATTGGAACAACATGGAGACCTGCTGGTTATACAGATGTAGAAGAAGCAAGAAGAGAACCACAGTCCAGATGGCAGATAACTGACACTCTTGTTGGCAGTCTTATCTGTGGGGTTACGGCCAAAGAGAGTCCCAAAATGAAGCGCAGATGGGAACGTAACTAGAGATCAGATCATGTAGTGATAGAAGCAATAAAGCAAGCATTCAAATACCAAGTTTAAGACTTTGAACAAATGCACAGCAGGGGGAGATCAGGAGACTCAGCACTTTGTTGGTGCTCTGTCATGTTTATGCAATCACCACCCCACAGTCTTCTTGGTCCAGACATCATTAGAGGCAGCATACTGGGGGGGGGGTGTTATGTGTTCCAACCAGTAGGACTAGTCTTCTTTTCTTGAGGTAAGGAGAGGAGTAGTATTAGTAGAAATACTAGTGAAGAGTGGAAAAAGTAGAACATTAAAGTGGGGAAAAGGATTACAAGGTGGTTGGTAGAATAGATATGCCACATTGGGCGTGTCAGCCAAATGTAAATGCAGACCCTCAAGGGTTAACCGCATCCTTTAATCTTCCCCACCGAACTGAACATAAAATCCCTTGGCTGGATCATAACCTGCATTTATTAGTGGAAAGGGAATTCCACTGTAGTTGCTCTGAGAACTTCCAAGCTTTAATTTTAAAAACCTGCAAAATACTTTCATATCCACTTTTCAAATGGTGGATAATAAAATACCAGAGGTATTTTACAAATTCTGTAATGAAGCCTTGCAGCTGATAAGCCCAGTCACGTGAATAAATAGTGAAAGAGCTGTTCACAATCAATGAAAGAGCTGGTTTGAAAATAGTGTTTAAAGCAGGGCTACAGAATACCAGATCTGGGGCGGTGAATGTGCCCCTCCAGGAGACTCTGTTAGACTCCCAGGACTTGCCATAGGTCATGCCTTGTCACCAGCCCTACTCTGCTCCCTCTCTGAGTGATTCTGCCTGACTGGAATGTGTCCCTGGACTGAGATAATGCAGGAGCCTAGATGGGGATGAGGGGGGAGCTGGGCAAGGAATGGTCTTCTGGCTTTTGTGTGGCTGGAATGAAGCAAACACACCCATTGCTTTGCTTGCGGTGACTGTTTCCATCCCTGCTATGTGGTGCTTGGAAAACTGCCCATGCCCTTGGGCTGAAAAAGGTCCACAGTCTGTTTGGGCTTGGCCATGGCTTTGGGAAAATCACTGTCCCAGCCTGTTGCTGGGAAACTTTAAAACCACTGTGAGCTCCTGGGAGCAAAGGTGAGACAGATATGTCCTAAATGCTTTCAAAACGATATTATTTTATTCACGCTTATCTTGAATCCAGCATTGTTCGAACAGAAATTATGAACAAACTGAAAACAGAATCTTGATCTCCATTTGTGTTTTAGAAGTCCTTGTTGGCTTTTTTCATTAATGTGGTAGGGCTTTGGGTTCGCCGGTAGCTCAGATTTGAACCACTCCGTCTCCTTGCTTCTAGTGAATTAATGATGTGAATGTCTAAGCAGCCATCAGATTCATAAATCACCAGAAATGAGAAGGATAACACATAAAAGTCTTTTCCTTTTGTTTAGCAATTTATCATTTTGCTTGCACATTAATAAACATAGCTCCCCTGAGGTAAGCAATGGAAAGATAAATTTTTCTTCCTAATTTTCTTAAATCGTAGCCAGTAGATCATAAGTGGAAAGAGTGGGCTTGTCAAAAGCACGTCGTACTGCTGTGGCGACTCTTTATATCCATAGCCAGTAGTAATAAATAAAGAGGCTCGGGTACTTGGGTAGATAATTGTTTTTGTTTACATAACAGGCGCCAGGTTTCCAAGTCCCAGGCTGCCATCTAGACCAAGCCGAAAGCGAACACTGTCCCTATCGCCTCTGTCTGATCATAGCTTTGACCTTCAGACCATGATCCGGACATCTCCAAACTCCTTGGTCACAATTCTCAACAATTCCCGTAGCAGTTCTTCAGCAAGTGGTTCCTACGGCCATTTATCTGCAAGTGCAATAAGGTAAGGGCTGACAACATACAGGGATGATTGATGTATATAAATCGTGCAAGAGTGAAACGCCTTGTTTGGTGTTTTAGATACTTTTATTAACCACTGTTTATCGTGTCCCACCAGAAGGAAATTAAATTAAAATTTCTAAATGAAGTTGTAGTTTTGAAAAACTGATTTCTGAGGTGCATTTAGTATAGAACAGCTTTCCAGAAAAACAAAAGACCCACAGCAAGCCAAGGTGTTTGGATAAAATGCTTTGGGCACAACTTTTGAAGAGCATTCTAGTTGTGCAACACATTTCTGGTTATGTTTGCACGGATGCATGTGGCCCTCAGTTCAACAGCATGACTTACTAACTGCTTTGGAGGTCGTAGTTTTGGTGAAGTATAAGGATGTTGGGAGGCTGCTGGATAAGGTTAGACTTGATCTGCGAAACCCACTAAAATCACCTGTTGCAATGGCCTGGTTATCACATAGAGCTAAACCGTGTGTGTGTGTGTGTGTGTGTGTGTGTGTGTGTAATTTTTTTAATGGGGTGGAAGAAATAAACTGCTCTTTCCAGTTCTTTTGCTCTTTAGTTTCCTGGGAGGAAATTCCAAAAGGGCTGTTCTGAAATTCAGCCCCAAAATTATTTCAGTTTGGAATCTTTGCTGGAAATATGGTACAGCATAATATGTGGTAGAATCTGGTTAAGATAGATTCAATAACCATCTGTAGATAACCATCCATAGATTATGGTTAATCTAAATATGTCCTGTACTTGACCATATGCTCATTTAATATTGTTAAGTTATAACCTTTATGCATGATCCTCATGTTTTGATTCAGGTAGGTAGCTGTGTTGGTCTGGCACAGTTTAAATAAATAAATAAATAAATAAAATTGTCCAGTAGCACCTTAGAGGCCAACTAAGTTTGTTCTAGGTATAAGCTTTCGTGTGCATGCACACTTCTTCAGATACTCTGAAACAGAAGTCACCAGACCCTTATATATTGTGGGAGGGTGGGGAGGGGTTTTTCTCAGGCGGGTAGTAGGAGATGGGTGATTGACTCAGTGGGTGTGGTAAACCTGTTGACGACTGCAATTAGTCCTACAGGAAAAAGCAAGGGATAGTACAGTGGTGCCTCGCAAGACGAAATTAATTCGTTCCGCAAGTCTCTTCGTCTTGCGAGTTTTTCGTCTTGCGATGCACGGTTTCCCATAGGAATGCATTGAAAATCAATTAATGCGTTCCTATGGAAACCGCCTTCAGACCAGGTCCAGGGACAGTCTGTCCCCCGACCTCTTCTGAAGGCTGGGGGGGGGGGGAACAAGGGCTTTTCTTCCCACCCCCAGCATTTTAAAAAACCCCGGGACAGCAGAGGACTTCTCCGCTGTCCGGGGCGATCTTAAAATGCTGGCGGGCGGCATTTTAAAATCGCCCCGGGACAGCGGAGGACTTCTCTGCTGTCCGGGGCGATTTAAAAGCCCCTGGGAAGGCAGGCAGGGGGGACAAAGACTTTTGCCCCCCGCCAGCCTTCAGAAGAGGTCCAGGACCTCTTCTGAAGGCAGGTGGGGGGCGAAAGTCTTTGCTCCCCCCCCCGCCTGCCTTCAAAAGCCTTCCGGGACAGCGGAGAAACGCGCTGCGTTTCTCCGCTCTCCCGGGAAGGCAGGCAGGGGGGACAAAGACTTTTGCCCCCCGCCGGCCTTCAGAAGGTGTTCCTGCCCCGCCGCCCGGCTTCGGAGGAGCCTTCCGAAGCCGGGCGGCGGCGGGAGGTGTTCCTGCCCCGCCGCCTGGCTTCGGAGGAGGTCCGAGGACAGTGGGGAAGACGCGCTGCGCTTCCCCGCTGTCCCGGAGATTTCCCTATGGGCTTTCGTCTTGCGAAGGAAGCCCATAGGGAAATTCGTTTTGCGAAGCGCCTCCAAAACGGAAAACCCTTTCGTCTAGCGGGTTTTCCGTCTTGCGAGGCGTTCGTCTTGCGGGGCACCACTGTATGCAGATGACCAAAAATAGCTTTAGCATATGTAATGAGACAAGAATCCAATATCTCTGTTCAGGCCAGGTCTCTCCATAGTTTTCAGTTTAGTAATAAGTTGTAATTCAGCAACTTCTCTTTCAAGTCTATTTCTGAAATTCTTTTGTAATAAGACAGCTCCTTTGAGATCCTGTATTTAATGTCCTGGGAGATTGAAGTGTTCTCCTACTGGCTTCTCTGTCTTGTGATTCCTGATGTCATATTTATTGATTTGTTGGATGTATGGATGATTTGTGTGTCTTCATTCTTTCTATCTGAAAAGTGAAGGATTTCCACATGCTTGTGTCATGTGTGTCAGTGCAGGTGAAATTCACACACATCCCCTTCGCATATTGCACAGGCAGTGTGAGCTAAGATTTTGCACGAGTCACACATGCTCTGTTGACTTTTTTGAGGTAGACCTAAAACCATTCTCAAGGTGAAGATACACATGACACATGGAACCAACCTCACTGTGTTTAATTCCAATGTACTTTTCCTCTCTAAGATCAAGCTCTGAAAATAACCATCACCTTTTTCTTACATCTTGACCCATTTTGGGCTACCTGAGCAGAAATGTGGCATTAATAAGGTCTTGTTAATTGCAGGCTGATTTTTGCAAGTTCTAGTTTCTTTCACTTTGCTTCTTGGCTCAGATTAAGCTAAACAAAGTTGGGAAGAGATTAAGCAGTTGGGGGCCAAGAGGTTGAGGCAAGTTTAAACAGCAGGAGGAAGAACTAGAACACTCACTCCTGAAGGGGTTGGATGCAGGGAAAGAAAAACCAACTTGGTTTCCTTTCCTTTCCTAATCTGCTGTTTATAAGAGGGGCATTGCTACAATTGACTTGTGATTTTGAGAGTGACTCGATTTACATGAAGAAATTAGTTTACCTTTCTTGGATATTTTTATTCTAGAAAACCATGAAGCTGAGGGGCAGCTTCCTATTGCAAGAGCATAGGCCCAAGTCCTTTGCTATGTTTCTCAGGCTTATGCCCTTCACTGGAATCCCAGTGAAACCAATGGGACTTACTCTCAAGTAAATGGGTTTAGCACACAAGGTGTTGCTCATGGATAACTCAGTTGTTCCTAAATGTGAAAAACTACAAAAATAAAATAAAATGACCATATTACCAGATGAATTCTTTCAGTAACTGTGGTTTTTTAATTGTCATTTGATATATATGCACAATGTATAGCAATACATAGTTGAAATAAGATTCAAAATGATACCAAAAAATCAAATTGTCCCAACTATAAAAAGGACTGTGGGAGTTGGACACTCACAGAGAGAGACCCCATCATGTGTTAGTATACTGTGCATGTATAGGAAAGCTGATAGGAAATTGGGCCACTTTTAATGAATTGCACCAATTTCTAACTTCTTGAGGTGTGGATGGCACAAGGACTTCTGTAACTATAAATGTTGCATTAAAAATATCAGAGTTTTACCAAATAGACCTTTCTGCATCCCATTGCTACAGTGATGCAGTAAGCCATACTGGCAAAATTCTCTTCTATGCAGTCCTTAAAAGTACGTCAGCCCTCTGAATCTGATTTGGCAACCATACCAAAGGGTGCAGATCCACACTTAATTGGGCAATGTATTGGCTTAATAAATGTCAGTTTCATTTCCCAGAAGGTGGAAAAAGCAACAAGGGAACCATCTATCTAGGAGCTAAAGGACTGTCACATGGAAGATGGAACAAGCTTATTTTTCCTGCTCTGGAGGGTAGGCCCAAACATTGGCTTTAAGTTTCAAGAAAGGAGATTCTGACTAAACATCAGGAAGGACAGTGGAACGGACTTCCTTGGAAAGTGGTGGACTCTCCTTCACTGAAGGTTTTTAAGCAGATGTTGGATGACTATCTGTCATGGGTGCTTTAGTTGAGATTCCTGCATTGCATAGGGGTTGGACTAGAAGACCCTTTGGGGTCCCTTCCAACTCTACAGTTCCACGGAAATCTTGTGGGGAATATTGAACAGCAACAAACCAATTTTATCTTTTCATTCCTATTCTGATAACGGAAGCTCAGATTTGCCACGTTAGGTTTGAGTGGGAAAGGGTGGGTCACACGTTAGAGAAGGGTGACTCATCATAGTATTACAATAGGATGGGCACATACATTTCTTAATTTATGCCTTAATGAGTAATTTATAATCCTGAACAATATTTATATGCCATAGATCTCTGAGTAATGGGCTTTCCCCTAATTATGCCTATTTCCCCCCCTATTTTGGGTTGAAATGTTACTGAGCCCAAAAGTATTTGGTTGCACTTGTACTAGCATTGAAAACAGTAGTTTTCCATGTGCTCTTTGAGTTCTCCTTGTACATTTTCTTTCAAATCTTCCATACCAGATGGAGCTATGCAAAAAAGCCCCCCCCCCCCGACTTTTAAGGCTTTAGAAAGTCTTGCATTCCCTCAGCTACCCAAGAAGCAACAGGTCAGCAATACTTCTGAGACTTGGGGGGCAAGAGACTGTGCAAGTCATTGCTGTGTGATTTGTATTGCTTTTCAGCAAAGGTTTCCACTCATTGAATATGCAAAATTTTACACAAGCTCTACATATTTAGTAATACTTTGCCCTAGAAATAAGGAATGCAAAATATATAAACAGACAGAAGGGCTGGATTAAGTTATTGTAGCCATTTAAAAATACAAAGAGCATAAAAAAGAACCAGATGTCTCTCAGCATCAGATCCCCCCCATAAGCCTTAAATAATGCCATATCAACCCATTGTTTTTGTTCATTTGAAGATTTGAGATTTCATAGATGCTCCAAACCAAGCTTCATGAGATGAATTCTGTGTATAGGTTGACCTGTGCATCACACTTCGCACGTGTGAAGGCTCTCCTGGTTATTCAAATGGAGGATCATTCAAAGTGTCATCCCCTGTCCGAGTGTGACAGATCTCAAAAGAGCTGTGGTATGTGAACCTTCTGACTGTGTGTCTCAACTGCAGGTGGCCAGTGATGATCACCAGCAGTGATGTTTCCTCAGCCTTATACAATA